CTGGTACCCAAAAAAAAAAAAAGAAGAAGAAGAAAGAAGGAAGGAAAAAATAAATAATACAAAATGCACAAAGTGCTCAATAAATGGTACCTATTATGAGTACATTTTTGTGCATGATACTCCTTAAGATACTAGTCTTTGATAGGACAAATGTTCTTCAGAATACACTTGGATATGTGTGTGTGTGTGTGTGTGTGTGTATACTTTGTATTATAATTACACAAAGGGATAGCAGTGGCTATTTTGTTCACTGGCTTCTATTTAGTACATTTGAACAACAATACCTTTTTTTTTTTTTTCTTTTTGGTACCAGGGATCGAACTCTGGACCTTGCACTTGTGAGGCACCACTGAGCTAAATCCCTGGCCCAACACCTTTCTTTACTTTCCTGGAAAATAAATATGGTTTCCAATGACTCAAGCTCTATGAACCTTTGGAAAAGCTAGGTTTATTATGAATGGGAGATACTTCCCCCATTATAGAGAGAAATTCCCTAGATGGAAGGTGCTCAAACCATTGAACTAAGAATTCAATGAACAAATAAATAAATCAAGATCATAAAATGCTAAAGAATTCTTAGGTGGGATACGACACACATATGATTTGGCTTAGCCATGGATATTAAGATGGATACACAAAACTAGATTTGACTGGGCTAGGATTAAATTACAGTTATTCTTAGGAAGCAGTAGGTGGAGATGAAATAGACTTAGTAAATATAGCACGAACAAAAAGATTGAGATAGTCAAGGTGCCTTATAATTTAGTCTCTACCTAATTTTTCTGAATTTAATTATTTTCTATTTCTTTTCATATATTTGTGCTCTATTCAACCTAAATGTTCTCTATTAAATATCACACAATTGCCAGTTTCTGCACTTATGTTGTTGCTTTTCCCTAAAATGTCTATTCCTCATACTGGCCCTTTCTTCTGTTCAACCTCAAATTCTCTTCATCTTTCAAGGCCTAGTTCAAATGACATTTCATCCAAGAAGTTTGGAGGGCTTTTTTCGGCACTACTTGGAGATTGACCTCAGAGTCTTATGGGCATGCTAGGTAAGTGTGGCATCACTGAGCTACATCCCCAGTCTTTTAAAAAAAATTTATTGTTGGAGACAGGGTCTGGCTAAGTTGCCCAGGCTGAACCTGGACTTGCAATCCTCCTGCCTCAGCCTTCCATGTAGCTGAGATTACAGGCATGCACTACCATGTCAGTTAGAAAGTTTTTTTTTTTCCATCACCTTAGATATATTTTAACTCTTCAAAGTACATGATTTGTTTCTTATGTCTACCATTTTGTCTTTTTCTTTCTGTTCTTATTGAGACTCCATTATGTGGTGCAGGCCAGCCTTGAATCTGCAGTGTACCCCAGGCTGGTCTGGATCTCACAATCTTCTCCCCTAAACCTTCCAAGTTCTGGGATTTCAGGTGTGCATCACTGTGCCCAGCTCCCTTTTTCTTAAGTTAACAAATATCTGAGAGCTGTTTATGTGCCAGGATTTGGAGATACTCTATATATTTATAGACTTCTTTCTTTTACCTATTACACTATTAATTTTTAAACAGGTTTTTACGTCAGTTTATAGTAAGTTTTGATTCATAGTAACCAGTACCTTGTTTATTTCTTTTGTTTTGGTTTTTTTTTTTAAACAAATCTCACTATGTAGCTCAGGTTGGCCTTGAAGTCACTATGTAGCCCAGGTTAGCCTCAAACTTGCTGTGACCCTCCTGCCTCAGGCTGGGATTACAGGTATGCACCACCACACCCAGCTGGAAGGCACAACGTTTTTAAAAAGATGGCTTTATGTGGGATTAAAGATAGCTGTTACAGGGTCAGGGATGTAGCTCAGTGGTGCTACACCTGCCTTGCACATGGAAGGTCCAGAGTTCAATCCCTGGTACCGCAGGGGAGAGAAAAAAAAAAAAAGATAGCTATTATAATAAGTACCATAGAGTGTAGTAATCAATAAGGGATTCATGAAAGAGACAGTATTTGAAAGAGGTCTTGAAATAAGGGTAGAAAATAAAATTTGAAATAGGAGCAGAAATATTTCAGATTTATTAGACTATGGGGTTCAGAAGGAAAGCAGAAAAAGGGAAAAGTGAAGCTAGACTCCCAGGCAAAAGGATTTGGACTACTTTTGTAACTAAAGAATGATTAAAATTGCCAAAGGTCCGAATTAAAGGACAGAATTAGAAACTGAAAAATTACCTTGATTCCACCATTCTTTTCAACTCTACTTTTCAAGTTTTAAATGAATAGCTATGTTACTTGAGCAATAACCTAAAGAACTAGCCTACAAAAACACAGTTCAGTTTTATAATACGGTTTGAAAATATATGGTAAAATCAAGCTATTATATTTCAAGATACATAGAAATTGTGATTATACTATAAATTATGAAGAGGAAGCAAAAAAATTCTCTGATACTCCTCCTTTTAAGGTTTTTGCTACCCCACCTCTCTGATCAAAACATTCTAGAAGGTAAGAATCATTAACATCTTCCTGACTTTCTTTTCAAGGTTCCTCTTTTTTTAGCTCTGATCTCTGCTAGACTCCTGTAAGTGTCTTGCTCTATCAGCTTGGTGTCTTGCACCTGTAGGTTCAATTGATTTATATGCTCAAAAAGTAGATTCTGATCAGAGGGACCACTGTGTACAATGTCTGCTTGCTTCACTGGAAACATAGAAATAAAGCCACCTTCTGGAATTCCTGGGACACCTGAGCTATGGACCTCCTCTCACTGGAGGAAGAAAGAAGAAAAGAAAAGACCAAAAGCTTTGCAATAGTTCCTGTTTCATCCATGAATCAGGCTACAAATATAGTTCTTCCTGTCAGCTTTCACAACAGAGGCTCTCTAGAGGTTGACGATTTACTTCTAAGACAGTGGTGGTGAACCTTTTAGAGCTTTCAGTGATACAAACAGCCGGCATCATGAATGCCATAGGTTCGTCATCACTGCTGTAAGACATCTGAGCCTGCCAAATTTGGTACAGACTTTTTTTTTTTTTACCCCTAGTATCCAGGGCCATCACATCGAGCTATGTGCCTAGCACCTTTTTACATTTTTTGTTTTGTTTTATTTTGTTTTTGGTACCAGGGATTGAACTCAGGACCTTGAGCTTTTGAGGCAGGTGGCAGCACCACTGAACTAAATCCCCAGCCCTATTTTTTTTTTTTTTTTGAGGTGTAGTCTTGCTAAATTGCCCAGGTACGATTCAAAATTGTTCTGGATTACAGATGTGTGCTATCATGCCCAGGTCAATATACTTGCTAATCTTACATTACTCCAAAGGAACTTAAAGGAGTCATTTTAGTCTTATTATTTATTCATCTGAAGTACTTCACACTTCCATTCTAGTCAGTCTTCATGTCTCCCTTACGGTACACAACCCCTCTACACTGTCAGACGAAAGTCAGCAAAAATTCCTTACTCTTTTGTCTCTACTGTTCTCTCACCTGTATAGCTACCCTACCCAACACTGCTATGATTATTATCAAAACATGGCACTAGTTCCAGAATTTGAAAATTACAGTGGCACTTTCACACTGCTAAAATGTTTGTGTTTTTCTGCATTAACTACTTTGTATGGTTCCATATCCCCACTCTTTAGTAATTTCTTCTTCAGCTTTATACACTGTACTCTCCTCTTCATAGGGGTCAATCAACATCATGGTTCACAACCCAGTTGCAAACCTTACTCTTGTCAACAGATGTCACCATGTGCTGAGCTCCAACCTTATTCCTCTGACTCCTATGGCACCAGGTAAAACTGATAATACCAAAAGTTACCAACAAGTACCTGACCTCTATGAAATGTTTTCACATTCATTTTCTTCTTTATCTGAACTCAATTAAGACAGAGAAATGTAATTATTCTTCCCGTCATTTTCCAGTTGAGGCAATTACAATCTAGCAAAGAACAGAAGACTTATTCAGAACCAAGATGATATTTAAAGAAGTCAAGATTCAAGCTGGAAATTCTATGTCTATCTCCAACTCCTTTCCCAAACACTTTGTTGTTGCTGTTTTCTGCAATAGGGTCTTGCTCCGTAGTTCAGGCTGGCCTTGAGCTCACTATGTAGAGCCCAGGCTGGCCTCAGAGTCATAGTGATGTTCCTGCCTCAGCCTCCTGAGGGGCGAGATTACAGGCGTGTGCCATCACGCCCAGCATTCCCAGACACATTTCTGAGAACACACCTACCTGTCAACAAGCCTCATACCATTCATGCACGTTTACATGGGTTGATCCCAGCCCTGTGAAACACAGCGTGAGTATCTTGTCATCATTATTTTTACTCTATTTCCCACTCTCAGCACCCAGCCTCGACACACAAGCCTATTCCATCCCACTTCCACCCTTGCTAACTTCCCACAGATCCCTACTGCTGCCATATTAACCAAGTTCTTTTCTTCTGCTTTCAACACGGTCTTATCTTTTCTCCACTCTGACTTACACTCTTAACCACAAACTCTGATTAAGTGCACCTTTATAATTTCAGCTGCCTGTTCTCAGGCTGTCCCTTCTCCTGCCCTGTTGAAACTATCCATTTTAGAGTGTAAGCTCTATTTAGGTAGTTATGGGTATCAATCAGCACAAAAGCCTTACATTCAAAGGCACAGAAACATTAACAATTACAATTTTTAAAGTAAATTACTCTTCTCCTTGATCTGAAATAATGACAATCCACTAAGAACATTATTTCCCTCAATTCAGAATTTCTCAATAGGGAATTAGGTTGTGAGGGTTGTAAAGGACATGACAAAGGCACATTTGTTTATATGTACTTCCAAAAGTATAACACAAAACACTTATTCCTTATTAGTAATTCCTTAATAGCTTTCTGTTGCCAACAACAGTCCTGCTCTACTGCACAGCAAGGTCAGTTCAGGAAAGAGGATCCTAGTTACCAGCATTTCCATTAGAAGAAGGAGGAGATCAGCTATTCCAATTACATACATGCTCTGCAAAAGCACCAGGTGACTATGTGCAACTTACTGGTTTATCTTTGATGGTTGGGCTTGACACACACAGGTACAGTTTCCCATCTTCTTCTAGGCAGGCATCTATCAAAGCTTGAACTGAGCTTTCCTCCTGGAATAGCAGAAAGGCATAGCCTTGGGGAGAAGAAAAACAAAAGGGTGAAAGAGGAATTAGTAAATTAAACTCAAAGTACCAGTCAAAAAATTACCTGTCATTTCAGTTAGACAAATTCTTATTAAAATCCAAGAAGTTCAAACGGGAAAAGAGGATTTCAGACCCTTGTGCGCCAGACACCATTTCAGCAGGTCAGAGGCATTACCTTGCAGAGTTTCAGGCTCTACTAACTGAGCTAGCTTGGTACTGCAATAGTACGTTGCTTGATTCTCATGACTACTCAAAGAAACACGCTCAGAATGCTTTTACAGAATTTCCACAGAATAGATCTCTTCATGATTTAATGAGAGCAACAGATGCACGAGGGCCCCCACCACAACTGGCATCGCTTACCCTCCAGTTTCCGTTAACCACTAGGCTTGATACATGCTACAATGGGGATGAGCCTTAAAGTATTATGTTAAGTGAAAGATGTCAGATAGAAAATATGCCCAGAACAGGCAAATTAAGACAAAAATAGGTCAACTGCATACAACCGGGGGGTTGAAGGAAATAGGCATAGGGCTTCTTTTCATAATGATAAAAATTTTCTAAAACTATTGTAGTGACGGTTAGACAATTCTTGAATTGAAAACTACTGAACTGTATACAATAAATTAGTGAACTGTATGACGTATGAATCATACCTCAACAAAATTATTTTTAAAAAACCCAACAAAAGGCTGGTGTGTTTGCATGTATCATTGGTACTGCTTCTGCTGTTTCTCTAAGGGATATGCTCCTGGCAATCTAGAAACACGAGTTTTAAGATTTCCATGAACACAGTCAATTTTTAATACAATATACTTTTTTGGGGGGGTACTGGGGATGAAACTCGAGATCTTGCGCTTGTGAGGCAGGTGGCAGAAACAATGAGCTAAATCCTCAGCCCTTTGCAATGTACTTTTTTTTTTGGTACCAGGGATCAAACTTGTGCCCTTGTGCTTTTGAGGCAGGCACCCGACCCAAACCACTGAGCTAAATCCCTGGCCCTACTTGCAATATACTTTTTTTTTTTTTTTTTTTTTTTTTTGAGATAGGGTCTCACTGTGTAGTTGAGACCTAACTGGAATTCACTACGTAGCCCAGGCTGGTCTCGAACTCACAGTGATCTTCCTGCTTCAGCCTCCCGAGTGCTGGGATTACAGGCATGCGCCACCATGCCCAGCTCAATATACTTTTAATTGACATAATACTTGTATATATTTATAGAATAAAGTATGATAATTTGATAATGTATACAGTATACAGTGATCAAATCCTGAAAATTAGCATTTCCCTCTCCTTAAATATTTATCATTTATGTTGGAAAGTTTAAAACTCCTCTTTTGTGGTTCTTTATAAAACTTATAGGGCTGAGGGTATAACCCAGTAGATTATGTGCATGCAAGAGCCCCTGGGCTCAGTCCCCAGCACCAAAGGTAAAATAAAATATATAAGAAATTGTTGTGAACTATAGTCACTCTGCGGACACATCCAGTTCTGTCTAGCTCAGTTCAGTACGATTCAGAGTAATTACGACAAGGGGAACACAATCTGTGGATTACGAGATCATAGAAATGGAGACTAGGTTCCTGGTGTCAAGAGACTATGTGGCAGAATAAGCAGATATTTGGGCAATTCACTACTCACTACAAAGACAAGGGAGATAAATGGGGACGAAAAGTACCACAGAAGCTCTGGGGAGCAGAGTCTACCTTGGGAGAGTCAGCAAGACTTCAAAAAGAACAACAGATGCTCAGCGGCCAACTCTGGCCCTTGCTTGGCCCTGAGGTTCATGCATGGCAGCCGAGCAAAGGGATCATGAGCTTGTCTGAGTCTGAGCACTCAGCTAATTCAGCCTCTGTACAATCCTGATAGTTCCACTAAATCGCTCAGCTGTCACCTCTGCTCCTACTCCTGCTATTGGCCTCAATGGAAATGATAACCAATGTTGTTTTCCTCTGGTGCATTGTGTGCCAGAATGATGTAAATGGTGAAGAACAAGAACCCCCACACACAGAAGATTCCTGCACATCAAACAAAGAAGTTTAATATCTAATCAACTGGCTAAGAATCAAAGTTCTCTGGAGTCCTGGGAAGGTAATATCCTGCCACAGAAAGACAGTGGTAGTGAATAATCGCTATTGTTTTTTACCCTTTTCTCCAACTCTTTAACCACTATACACAGCACTCAAGTAAGCCCAGCAATTGCCCAGCACACCAGAGAGAGGCCAATACGCAGGAGAAGACCCTAAGCTGGTTTGTCTGCAAGCAAGAGGCTGCCTCGGTATTGGGACCCAGAGTTGTTTTCTGGGCTTTGTTCCCAGGCTACATGAGTCAAAGGATTCAGCAACTGCTTAGATAGAAAAAGTAAACCCTAAGTGCAAAAGTAGAAGAGATAATATGTCATTTCCTTATCCTCTCTTCTGCAAATGGCATCAAATTATCACCAAGTCCCAAGGAATCTATTAGAAATTCAGTGTTTTCATTTAAGTGAGACTATTAACACTACTTTCTAAAGACAGTACTAGAGATAAGTGAGTTAAAAAAATGCAGATATTACCAGGCTTGGTGATGCATACCTATAATACTAGCACTCAGGAGGCTGAGATGGGAGGATCATTGCCAGTTTGAGGCCATCCTGGCTACAAAGTGGGTTCAAGGCCAACCTGAACTACATAGCAAGACCCTGTCTCAAACTAACAAATAAACAAAATAATCACCAAAAGGAAGTTTTAGCAGGTTCCTTCCAACCTCTCATCTTAACCACTTTAATTTATTTTCTTTTCTTTTTTTGTATTTACACATGTATGTCCTATTTATTTCACTTAAGAGTATGACCTCAATAAGCATCCATTTAGCTATTAATGTCTCTAGTTTCTCATTCTTTATGGCTGAATAGTACTCCATTTTATAGATGAACCACATCTTCTTTATCCGGTCTCCAGTTGATAGGCAGTTAGGCTATTTCCAAATTTAGGTTATTACAAACTGTGCTGCTATAAACATGGGTAAGCATATATCACTGTGGTATGATCCTTTTAATTCTTTTGTAAAGACACCCAGCAGAGAGGTCCCTGGGTCAAATGGGACCTCTAATCCTAGTTTTTTGAGGTATCTCCATATTGATTTCCACAGCGGTTGCACCAGTCTGCTCCCACCAACAGTGGAGAAGGGTTCCTTTTCCCCCACAATCCCATCAGCATTTTTTATTGGTTAATTTCTCGATAACAGCCATACTTTCTGGGATGAACCATTTTAATTTCTGGTACAGATCTTTCACAAAGATCATAAGAAGCCAATGGACATCCTGCCCTTAAAGATAAGCTGTCTGTGTACATACAGTATTCTGCAAAAGGCACATCAAAAAGGTCCGGCGATGGGACACACTCAATAAGCTAGGGCTGGCCCTAGTTCCTTGCATTGGCCAGGCCTCCAGACAACTGCTTTTCTTAGTATCACTGCTCTGCAATCTTGTACATCAAATCCACTTTTCAACTGACCTTGGGCATCAGAGAAAAGGGAGGTTGTCTGCTCATAGCAGATAAGTAGCTACCACAAAGACATACAGATTTTCACTTAGGCCTACCTGATGGCCATAAATGTCTATATTTGCAGTAGACAGTAAAAACAACTGAGAGTTACATATAAAAACCTGTTGCAAATATTGTTACCAAGAGAAATATCTACAAATTCTTCATTTTCCTCAAGGGATGGCTTGTAATTAATTGTTTTTTTTGGGGGGCAGCACCAGGGATCAAACTCAGGACCTTGTGGTTGCAAGGTAAGCACGGTGCCATTGAGCTAATCCCTGGCCCTATTCTGTACTAATTTCTTTAATGGCTCTTTTATAACAAATAATTCCAGAGCCGGGCATGGTGGCACACACCTGTAATCCCAGCACTTGGAAGACTGAAGCAGGAGAATTGCTCTGAGTTTGAGGCCAGCCTGGGCTACATAGTGAGTTCAGGGCCAGCATGTAGTGGCACACAATTGCTATCCTAGCACTGGGGAAGCTGAGGCAAGAGCATCCCAAGTTTGAGCCCAGCTTGGGTCACTTAGTGAGATCCTGTCTCCCCCTTAAATTAATTAGTTAAATAAATAGGGTTGAGGATAAAGTTAAGCAGCACAGTACCACTGGTTTTAATTCCAATATCAGAAAAAAATCATTTTTACTCTAAGTTTAGCAAGCTGCCACTCTCTGTTAATGACAATATTCTGTTAGTAGTTCAGAGATACATGTGGCTGAACATCTCTCTGGAGTGTAGTCCAACATCATCCATCAACTCTATTTCCCATTTCTGACCTTTCAACCAAAACAAAATTCACCAGAAACACCTGTCACCCATGAAAACAACTTTATATTTTACCTAACATAAAATGCCTGATACTTCAAGGTCAGGCAAACCCAGACAATAAAACAAACAAACAAACAAATAAAAAAAAACCACAGCATTTTTAAAAATCAGGAAGGAAGAATCCTTCAAAATAATTTTCCTTTTGATCTTGAGAAATTTAAGGTCAAAGTAAACAAACTATTTGAAAAGTATCCCTTCTAGAACAACAAGGTTAATGTGAGGTGGAAATTAATCAATGATTTACTAAAAAGTAAATTCCACATGGTACTGTACTATGAGAAGAGTTCTTTGGATTTGGGTACAAGTCCCACCATTTACTAGTTGTGTGGTGCAACAACTAATAACTAACATTATTGAGAATTTATTATATAAACCAGGAACTGGTCTAAGTATCTTGGGTATATTAACTCATTTCATCTCCACACATACCCAACGAAGTAGCTAATATTTTTAATTCTGTTTTACTGCTTAGAAAATTGTACAGAGAAATTAGGGGGCTTCTTTGAGGTCCTCCAGTAAGTGGTAGAACTATGAACTCGAATATTAGCAGTTATTAGTCTCAGTTCCCTCTATAAAGCAACTATTTGTCTTGATTCTCTTATAGATATTTAGGTTGTAAGAGAATATATACCAAAGAGTTT